CGTCAGAAAAGAAGGTCGTCAGAAAAGAAGGTCGTCAGAAAAGAAGGTCGTCAGAAAACAAGCTCCGGACAGTCATGTTGCTTTGTGCAAGAGAGGAGCGAGAGGGGAAGTTGAACGAGGAGGACGACTAGCAACATAACGCTGAAACTTGGTTATAGAATTTCTTTAATTCTCTAGGACTCCATATGTGGCGAGGTGTAAATTGGAGAAGGCTGGGCGCAGAGTCTCTCGGGCGGCCCAAGATTGAAATCCGTCGAAGCAATGCAGCTGTGGCCGTGTTTGTGTGGGCTGAACTTGAACTGGGCCAGGCATATCTTGACGATTCTCCAGGCTGCGTGGCAAGTTGGGTTCATCTTGGTTTTTCAAGGAAGGTACGACTTGCAATTCCGTTTGGTGCCGTCACTTGTCAGTGGGCTTGTTGTGCTACCCAGAGCAACCACGTGGTGGGCCAGAACAGGCGTCCTTGCGCCTGACCACGGGACAACGCAATCTCCCTCCCATAGGCCGGTGATAACGAAGCGGAATGGTTGGCGCCATCACCATCACTGACTTGCGCCGGTGTAAACTAGTGCCAGATGGCGATCTCAACAGTGGTTCGGCCACTTTCGGACACTTTCCACCCTAGCACGCTGCAACGTGGACGCCCTGAGGACCGACATCCATGGATCGGTCTCTACACTTGGGCACTTTCAGGTTGCAGCAATAACACACATTACCTTGAAAATGAAATTAGTAACCAGAGAGGGACGAGTTGACGAATACTACCATATTCAAACTGACCTTAGTCTTACCTTCACTTAAGTACCTTACCTTGCGTGCTTGCACAATCAGGCATCCCAACTAGCAACATTGCGGCCTGAAACTACCCAGCGTACCTAATAAGCCCTTCTTACCTTATCCATGTATCACTGGCCATTTGAAGTCCGTCGAATTACCTCCATCTGGGCGTCTCAGTCTCGCAACGCTTCCGCATGGCGAGCTTCCGCATGGCGGGCTTCCGCTCAGTGGGAACTCGGCCACCGCGGCGACGGTCGATGACCTCACCATCGACGTCTTCAGTCTCAGCGTCCTGGAACGGCGCTGGATTTTGTCTCCGGTCGCTCGGTCCCACACGTTCCGAGACGTCCTATTCGGCGGGCCTCCTTGTTCTGGGGGCTTCCCTCCGCCGGTTGTCAGTCACAGTAGCAGTGCGACTGCGCGAGACTCGCGGCCGCGAGGGAGATTGGTCACGCCCTCTGTTCGCGGGACGTTCTTGGTCGTACTGGGGGTCGGGCGTTTGAGCGTAGGGGCGGGCCTGGCAGCATGCTGGTTGACCGGGTAGTTGTTGAACCCGGTGGGCTTCTCGGGTGCGGTCCGACCATATCTGGACGAGGAATCCATGAATTGTGCCGTTAATTCTTCTCGCTGCATCATGCGGTCAACTTCGTCCATCTCGGGGGCGATGTACGATGGCATGCGAAGGCCCTGGTACACATCGTCATCCAAGGAATTCCCACCACCAGACGATGGCATACGGGGCCGACGGCGCCTGAATGTATCGTCACCGAAGACATCAGCGCCGTAGGTATCCTCCCGAGCGCTATCGAGGTTGAACGTAAAGGTCCGCTCGCGGCGGCGCTTGAAGATGTCATCGCCGAGGGGATCATCTCCAGCACCATCATTGTTGAACGTGAAGGCCAGCCCGTCACCGCCCTGGTAGCTTCCTCTGTCACGATCACCGCCGCCAACTCTCCTTCCCGCAAACCCAGCAAACGGGTTCTGCGCGGCTCGCGGCTCGTTCCGAGTCGCGAACCTGTCAACTGGAACCCACCCGTACTGCGGGCACTTCCGCCTCTTTCCCTTGCGAGGCTCGGCTCGCGCCTGGGCAGTCGCGAACCTGCCAGAAGGATCCGCCCCGAGCCGATCGTACTTCTCCCTCTTCTCCCTCATGTTGTCCCCATGGGCTCGCGCCTGGGCTTTCATGTTGGCCATCCTGTCATCAGGATCCATCCCGATCCGATCATATTTCTCCCTCTTCTCCTTGTCTCCCAGGACGGCAAATGCACGCCCGACCATCTTGAAGGCCTCGTCGGCCTGCTCTTGACCATTCTTGTCCGGATGCGTCAGCAGCGAGAGCTTGCGGTACGTCTTCTTCACCTCGGCGTCGGTGCACGTCTTTGGCAGCTCCAGAATCTCGTAGAAGGCTGTTGGCTGGCACCGGAGGATGCGCAGCACGGCCGCCTTCTGCTCGGGCGTCACGTTACGCTCAGCTTCGGGAACGGTATCAACGAGCGGTTCACGATTCGGGCGAGGAGCAGGTGAAGGCTCTCTCTTGCTCTCTGCCTGGCCTTGAGGAGCTGAAGGTGGTCTCTTTCGCTCTGTCTCGCGGTGGCGGCTTCTCCCTCGAGCATCACGGTCGCGAGGACGGGAAGAGGGCCGGGGCGGGTCCCGGTTCCTGTCTTGTTCCCGGCCGCAATTCCGGCCACGATCTGACTCAGGTTTGAAGTCAACATTGTGGTACCGGGCCGAAATTGAATCCTCATCCCGCCTATTGTACCGTTCACACTGAACGTCGAAGTCTGGACGCCTTCTTCCGCTTTCGGGAACCCAGCCCACGTCCAACGAGTCGAGTCTGTTCATCAGGCAGTAGGGATGGCTGCATGCCGGGTAAGGGACGTAGGTATTTGTGAACTTACGCTCCATCCAAGCTCCACAAAGGTCGCATCTGCTAGTAATGCAGGCCATAGTAGGTCCAGTCTCAGCTTGGCGAAGTCTCGTTGTCTTGTGCTTGGTCATAGTAGTTTTGTAGTACAGAAGACTAACTTAGTTTGTGTAAAAGACGGTGGTTTTAATATTCTCACGGTGACTTCTCTCATGCCTTTAAGTCTGCACAATGGCTTTGTGGCAAGTTAGGAACAAGAGGTAAACAGAGGGACTGTGAGATGTCGGAAGGTATCCCACCCGACGCTTGTAAAATTGAATGGGAAAGACAAAGAGATGACCATGGATACGTACAGTACAAAGGGCGAAGGATAGATTGCGTAACGATCGTGCTAGAAGAATGAGAAGGGCTCCTCATTCCGTACATCCGCTATCCTCTCCGTTTCCTGACTCTCAGCCGCCGCGCCTGGCTCCCCGGCCTCGGCTTCCGGCGTGTCCTTCTCCACCTCGGCAAGATCGCTCTAGCTCCTACTCGCGCCATCATCGGTGGCCTCAACCTTGATGTCTGGAGTACGCCCTCCAAGCACCTCCTGGACAATCCGCTTGCCCTCCTCCAACTCCCCGTTGGACGCACCGCAGGCCATGCACTTCCACATTCCCAACTCGGACAGCGACTTAGTTCCAGGTGGCGCTTGCCCGTTGACGAGCCGGCAGCTGGAGCAGATGAGAACGATCCTGTTCTTGGCCGCTGTCTCGTCCTCGCCCAACAGTGTGTCCAAAATGCGGTCGTACCAGTGCGATTCGGCCTGGGGAGCCATTGCAGCAGGCGGATATTGCATGAATGCAGGGGGAGGTTTTCCATCAAATGCATTCGGCGCAAATTCGGCCGACGTGTCCATGTCTGCTCGGTTCGATTGTGGTTGGGGCGGTGAACCGAGCCTGCTTTGCGGCCTGGGCTGTGGTGTGCCCGTATGGGTTGCAGGCGGTCGTTGAATGTTGGCTGTTGGTGGTGGTGGCATGTTGGTGCGCTGCGGCAACCCGGGGTGCTTCTGCTTTGGCCGTCCATCCTTCTCCCGCTCCGCACCCTCTTCCTTTTCGACTTCCTTCTTACCCTTCGTTTGCTTGTTCTCAACCCCGCCGTATTTCTCCAACAACTCGAGAGTAGAGTCGTACTTTGTCGCATCCTTGAGTTTCTGAATGGTCTTGGCGCGCTCAGTTTGATATTCCTTGAGTTGTATGCTAAGCCTCTCGATGCGATAGTCGAAAAACGCCGTCGTCACGGCGCGTACGACATAGATCAAGACTGGCCCGCCCGCCATGCCCGTCCACTCCAGGGGTCCCATACTCCTCCATCCCACCACCAGCACCAGGACGATGCCATAAACCAAGTAAGCGAACCCGAGGTAGAGCGTGCAGAGGACCTTGACCCGCCTTGACTTTGCCCGGCTCTGATCGAGGTGTGTCTGGGTAGATGTGATTTTGGCGGCGAGAGCAGAGAGAGTCTTCTCGAACAAGGCTGGGGAAGGATTTTCCTTCTACAGGAGATGGAGATGATCAGCTCTGGTCACCGCCGTCAACCGAAAATGCTAATTCCGCATACTCAGTACTTACCCCCCATGGCCAAAAGGAAACCATGCCTTTGCAGGACGCAAAGGGGTGACCTTTGAAAAATAAACGAAGTGAGAATGGAAAACGAAATGGGCTGGCAGGAACAACTGGCTGACAGAGATTGCGACGTGTCGTGATGAGCGACTTCGTCGCTTGTCTCCCGCCTGCCCCAGCCACAGGATGTGAACAAGCGTCAAAGTGGACAACGAAGCCCAGAAGCAGCTCCGATGGGCAGTGACCTCATATTCCGGTTATAACGATATCTACTTAGTCATTAGCGTATCGTTGCGAACGGAAACACGCCAATCATTCGTCCTCCTGTCTTGGGATAGTTCATGAAAGACATTTTAAAAACCTGGAATTTCATACTGTGAAGACTGGAAGATAAATTTCTGCTTTTTATCTTCTACGTTTGTGTGTCTGAGGGAAGTGGAATGTCGATTGAGAACGACCTAGCGGAACCAAGGTTAGGCGTCCTTATCTTGGGGCAACTACTGTAGTTTATCGGAGTTCAAGCCCTCTTCCCCACATGGTTTTGCCGGCGGCAGCCAGCAACAAGGGGTTCAACAGGGGTTCGTCCTCACTAAGTTCTCAGGTCTTGCTGGGATGCGAGACTGTGCACGGGCGACAAGGAGCTCTGTCGCAGACAGAGACAACAAAGCCTCCTGAAACCTGTCAAATACTTAGTACCCTAGATGGGAATGCGTCCTTGAACTGTATATTCTAGTGCTCAATCTTTACTTCCAGTGTTTATAATCCTGCTTTCAAGCTTCCAGGTTCCACTGTCTTCCTGGCTTTCCGCCGAGCAACTGTCTTGTTTCCATTCACTCGCCTTAGAAGTGTCCACTGCTTGCCCGGAATAACCGAGCCGCGCGCGCAACCAGGAAGCTCAAATATCAACAAATCCAACTTGAATACGGTGCCTGGCGCATGATCGCACAGCCATGTTGCAGGTGTGTACAAGAGAGCCCTGTTCGAAGTCGCTTGCGGCAGCGGGGCGAGGCTGACAGTGCCCGTGGTAGAGAATCAAAGGCGCGATTGATCGCACCATCGCTGAGGAGCAGGCGAGGCAAAGATCCTCTCTCGATTCCCAGAGGCAAGCGCCCACGCCAGGAAGCGCCGGTCTACGACGATCACCATCCTCAAATACTACAGGGACTCAGTCGCCCGCCCGACGTCCCCGTCCGACAAAGAAGGCCAGCGAAGACCTCACGTCGAGAGAGGGGAACAGCGATGGAGCCGCAAACCCCGACCCAGCTGTATTTGAGGCCGCCTTTGTCATCGACGATGCCGATGATTCAACTGCTCCATCAAGGGTTGCAACGCCGTCGTCGACAGACAAGGATACGAAGGCTGGAGATGCCGGCAAGGACACGACACAAGGCGCCGCCGATGCCTCCATTACCGCTACAGCCGGTGCGCCGCCAGCCGGGGACAATGGAGACGCTGCCAACGCCAGCACAGAGCAACCAACCAACGCGCCGACTACGGGCCCTCCCACATTTGAGCTGCCGCCAGAAGTGCGAGCGAGACTTCGAAAGCTCGACAAGCTGGAGAAGACATATCCAGGTGCGCAAGGCTCATTTTCAAATCTTAATTGTCTTGTTGCCGCCACCTGAACATTCGTTCTAATCTCTGCTACAGAACTATTGCGCTCATACCGAATCGCCCACAGTCGCGCTACGTCCATAGAGCCATTCGAGAGGGCCCTCAAAGAAAACACCCCGCTCACGTCCATCAGGGACCCGGAAGCCCTGGTCGAGTACTTGAACCAGATCAACCTGAAAGGCGACATGGTGATGGAGGAGCTCAAGCGCGTTACGACCGAGAAGGACACCTACAAGAGGAAAGCAGACGAGGCCGATAAGGAGCTGGCGGCGTTGAAGGAGGAATTGGCTGCTGTGAAGGCCATCCACTCCGAGGATAAACCAGCGTCGGGGCCAAAGGACGGGAGGCCTGCAGAGGAGCCAGCGGCCACCGGGGAGGGATCCAAGTCGCCCAAGGAAAAGCCAGCGGACGAGGATGGCGAGGACTTTTTCTCGTACGACAACGAGATCCCCGAACTTCAAGCCGAGCTCAGGAGGAAAACCGAGGAAGTCGAGAAGCTCAAGGTTGAGCTGAATAACCTGAAGGACGAATTGTCCCTCACCAAGGAGCACAGTGCAAGCCTTGTCGAGAGTCTCGAAAACGCCACCAGGGAGCTCAGTGAGACCAGGGACGTCATTGCAGTCAAGGCTTCTATTGAAACACAGCTCGAGGCAAGGAACGCCGAGATCGCTGTCCTCACTGACCGCCTGGACAAGGCGCAGTCTAGAATGAAGGACGTTGAAGCGCAAATTGAAGAGGCAAAACGCGATGCGGCCGAGGAGGTAAAGGAGAAAATTGATCTGCTCACAGCCTCCAGCTCTAGGAACAAAGAGTTGGAAGGCGAGCTGGAGAGACTTGGCCAGGCGAAGACTTCTCTTGACGAGAAGGTCGAAAACTTAACCTCGGAGATTCAGACACTTAAAAAGTCCAAGGCCGAAGACGAATCCAAGATCGAGGAACTCACCAAGCGAATTCAATCGTCACCGGCTCCGGCGGACCCTCCTGCAAGTCCGGCACCAACACAAGAGGGTTCATTGGCACCTCCCCCAGCCGGTGGCGGCAAGAAGAAGAACAAGAAGAAGAAGAAGGGTGGCACCGCAGCAGCCACTGCCGCCTCGGAGCCCACCCCAAGCGAAGCGTCGGCAGGAGGCCAAGCGCCCGCGTCGCCACTGGAAGGTCCCAGTGCCGAGGCTCTACAGGCGGAGCTGGCGCGTCTCAACGAAGAGTTGGCCGAAAAGGACCAGCGGATTGAGAGGCTGTCAAAGCAGCGCAAGACTGAGGAGGACCTGCGCGAGGAAATTGAGAATCTTCAAGAGAATCTGATGACGATCGGCCAGGACCATGTGGAGGCTAAGGAAAGAATCAAAGAACTCGAAGCAGAGAAGAAGGCGTTACAGGAGCGAATCTCAGAGCTGGAAAAGGAGGTCGAGTCCGCCGCATCAGAAGCCAAGGCTGATGCGCAACTACAAAATGAGCACGACTCTCTAAGGCAGGAATTCGACAACCTCAAGTTGAAGTCGGCAACGTTGCAATCTGACCTGGCAGCTGCGCAGCAGCTCGCTCAGACCCGGTACAAGGACCTCTCCGAGCTCAGGGAAGTTCTCCAGAAAGCCCAGCCCGAGCTAAAGAGCTTGAGGCAGGATTCCGCGGCTCTCAAGACGACACGGGAAGAACTCGCGGCGAAGAACACCGAGCTTCGAAACCTCGAGAAGCGTGAGAAGGAGGTGAAAACCGAACTTGCCCGAGCACAGCGTCTTGCATCAGATCGTGAAGCCGAGATCAAGGCACTCAACGAGAAGGTCGCGCAAGAAACCAATGCACGCCTACGGTTAGAGGACGAGAAGCGCGTGGCAGGGCGCGATCTCCGCCGCTCCGAAGCCGAAAAGATTGAGCTTTCGGCACGGGAAGAAAAGGCCACGCGCGAACTTCAGCGCATCCAAGAAGAAGCAGCCAAACTGCGCCCCCGCATCCGAGAGCTTGAAGACGAAGCCGCCCGCCTCAGGAAGGAACAGGAAATCCTCCGCGAAGAGGTAGAGCTCAAGACGAGCCAATACAGCAGCGCGCAGAACCTCCTCGGCAGCATGCGCGACCAGGCGGCCGAGGTGAGCATCCAGCTGAAAGAAAGCCAGGCGCAATGCGAGAGCCTGGACGAGGAGCTCGCCGAGGCGCGCAAGATGCTAGGCGAGCGCACGCGCGAGGCCGAGACGATGCGCCGGCTGCTGGCCGACGTCGACGAGCGCGCCGACGCTAGGGTACGCGAGATGCGCGCCCGGTTGGACGCGGCTGTCGAGGAGCGGGACAGGCTCGAGGACGAGTCGAGCGCGCTGGCGCGGCGCAAGGCGAGGGAGACGGAGGAGCTGCGGCAGCGGATTCGGGATCTGGAGCGCGAGGTCAAGGCGCTGGCCAGTGAGAAGGACGAGCTCGAGCACAGGGAGCGCGACTGGCGAAGGAGGAGGGAGGAGTTGGAGGCGTATGAGGAGCGGGCGGGGACGGAAGTGGCCGAGATGCGCACAACGGTGTCGAATCTGCGGTCGACGCTCGATGCATCGGAGCAGCAGGTGCGGGATATGGAGAAGAAGAATGCCGAGTTGCGGCGCGCGCTGGATGACTACCGGGTGCGGTATGACAAGCTGGCGAAAGAGTCCAAGACGCTGCAGGCCAGGCTGGCGTCGCCGGCTGTTGCGAGCTCGGGGAGGAGCTCGATGGAGTCGACGCGGTCGGGCAGTCTGAATGGTTCCGCGGCGCAGCAGGCTGGCGGCAGCCAGGACGCCATGTACCTCAAGACGATCCTGCTGCAGTTCTTGGAGCAGAAGGACAACAGGCTGCGGGCGCAGCTGGTGCCGGTGCTGGGGAAGTTACTCAAGTTCGACAAGTGAGTGTGTCCGGTTGGGTTCCTTCTGACTGTTGCTGACGTCTTTACAGATCCGACGAACAAAAATGGCTTGCGGCCATTCAGCACATCAACAGCCGGTAATCGGAAGGCGGAGAGAGAAACGGCTTTGCAGATGCTTGGTGTGGTACATATCGCTGGCGCTCGCCTGAGGTTGGTTGTAGGATAATAGAGTTGGTTTTGTGTCTGTTGGTACGGATTACACGAGAGGTCTTGGCCTGTTGCACTGCTTGGTTACAGCAGAGGACCTCTTGGCAGGCGCATCTCCGTGCTAAACACGGCGGTGAAAAGAGGTGCTTACGGGCCTCCAGTGGCGAAAGACACAAGCGCTGGGTTCAGTCCACGTCGCATGGCCGTGTCTGACAGATCTGTTCTAACCAGCACGAGCTCAACGTCGGCGCACTTTGGGCATGGCGCTGCCGAATTCAGCCCTGCGTTCTGCCCGGAGGTGCCAACCGCGGACCATCCCGTGTGGATGCGGCTCCTGTTGGACCGGATGTAACTCAGCCCCGATGTTCTGCATATTCCCCCGATCAGGACCCAATCACTCGATTACCAACATTGGGGAGGTGAAATACAAACACAACGTACAATATTGACCCGGCGAGTTCATCTCAGTCACTTTGTTTTCCTCCATTGACTCCGTCAACTTCGACTTTGCAACAAGAATCATCCAGCCATGGCCGACCTGCCGGCGCGCTTCACGACCGACCTCGAGGACAGCCTCAACATCTCGATTTCGGCGGCCGACAACATGGTTGACCAACCCAGCACCTACAACAACAACCGCCGATGGGACGACCCGCCCGAGGAAGAGCCAACCGTTGCGCCGGACACCAACACCACGCTGATCCTCGTCAACACCTTCGCCATGCGCTCGCCCTACTACGCTAGCGAGATCATGCACCTCTCCTTCACGCCGTCCGGCGCGCACCTTGTCGCGGCCGTGCCAAAGGGAGAAAACAAGTACAGTCTCAATCCTGAGGGCCCATTTGCCCTGGCCGTGTGGTCGGCCGAGACGGGTGCGGCGCTGTCTTGGAACAAGGCGCAGGTTGGGCGAGGTTTCGCGGTCATGCCGGTGACGGGGCCCGGGGTCATGGTGGCGTGCCCGTCTCTGACCATTTACACGCAGCATGTTGATTTCAATATGTGGGCGAAGTTGGAGGTGTGGGACTGTCGCGACGCGGGGAAGAACCAGCGGCTGCTCAAGCAGGACCACGTTCCGATCCGGGCGCCCGTGGCGTGGAGTCCGGACGGGACGGTGCTGGTGGGCGTGTCGATCAGGGAGCCCAGCCGGATGCTTGTGGTGCGGATGCAGGGCAGGTACAAGGGAATGGAGGCCACGGTGGGGAGGGTATTGATGGGCCATGGGGAGGAGGTGACACAGCTGGCTTTCTTGCCGCCTTGGGAAGGGGACGGGAGGGCGCTGGTGAGCGCGGGGACAGATGGGTATGTCAGGGTGACGAGTGTCGAGTCTGGGAGGACGCTGAAGAAGATCGAGATCGGGATGAGGGCACGCGCGAGCATACTAAGGGTGTCGCCGGATGGGAAGCTGGTAGTGACGGTGTGGGGGAGGGAGGTGGTGCTGTGGTATTTGGACTCGGGGCGGGTGCACCATTACAACATGAACGCGCTGCGGCAGAGCGAAGGGTGGCCGCTCTGTGTGTCGCCGGATTGCCGGTACCTGGCGTGCCGGACCGAGGAAGGGTTCGACGTTAGCGACGTGGCGACGGGCAAGTTCAGGGGCGAGTATGCGTGGACAGGCAACCCCATCACGTCGGCGGCGTTCAACGGCGAGGGGACTCGACTGGCGGTTGGGGATTACCGAGGGGTGGTTCAGATGTTTGACATTGTAACGCCCTGAGTTTGCTGGCTGCTGGGAGACGCTCAGATGGCAGGTTCTGCTCTTCCCTGGAAGCCCTCTCTAGGCTAGTGTGACAAGGCGGTCGTGTCAGTAGTACAATGATACCACTTGATGTTGAATGCAGCCTGCAATACTAGAATCAGATTCAGAGATTGGGCGTTCAGCAATTTGCGGTAAGAAATGCTCATGACTCGTAAGGTGGTCAAACAGGGATACAGGAGACAAATATTAGACATTACAAGGGACACTGCTTGCCCGGCGTTCTTGTGATGTCGTGACAAGTGTGACAGGATTTCAGCTCATGCTGCAGCTAGCCGGCTGTTGGCCAAGGGTCGGTAACAAGAAGGGGGCCAGTTGCCGGTTGGGGAATCGAGGCCCGCCAAGGAAATGAAGGGCTCTGCCGGTGCCGATAAGCCGCAGCGCCGGAGAGACCCTGCCCTGAGCCAAGTGGAGCCTGTAGAGCACTGGCAGGTTGCTGCGTCTCATCGAGAAACCGGCTGCTTGAGATGGAAGAATGGAAGACACGGGCAAGACGGGCAGTGCCGGAGCAGGGCGCAATCCGCAGGGGATGCAAAAAGTGGGGTTTTGATCGGAGTTCGCCCCAAACCAGAAACGCCCGGGAGTCCGGATCGAACCGCATATCCAAGGGCTTCGTGCTGGTGGCGGCTTATCTTATCTTATCCCCCGGCACTGAAGTCGTGCATAAAGAAAGATACTTTGAGCTTACTGTGTAAAACTAGCCTCGTCAGCGGGTCACCAACCGAGGCAAGACCCCGATTTCCAAGGTCAAGATAACGTGGGCGTTTCATTTCTCGCAGTTGTGCTATTCATCCCAATTGCAATTGCTGACCGACACGAACAATCTCATCAAAGACAATGGAGGTCGGACGACATCGGATGATCGAAAACTGATCGACTTGGTCAACCAACCTGGGGGTGGGTTTCCTGTTCTGGACATGGCCAGCTGGAAAGGATGATATCACCAGATCACAGGCCGTTTTCCATTGCCTGTCTTTCCCGACTGTCTCCCATGCAAATCTGAGCGCGTATGGTGGGGGGCCATGCGACCATGATGGCCATGCCCGCTCTCTGCCAAGAGACACGAGACCACTCCTCTCCGGGATCATGGGAGAAGATGAGAGCAAGCGCTGGTTCCTGTGTAAGTGCCACTCCTGTAGCTCCAGTTCCCACACCAGCCAGAGATAAGGGATTTTTGCCAATTTTTTTCTCGCTCTCCATCCTATCCACTTAGACCCGGCCGGCATTGCGCCAGGGACCCGATCCGCGCCGGCTTCATAAACACTGGGTTGCCACCCGCGCAACCTTGGAAACCCGGTAGCTCTTCTCAGCAACGCTCTCTGCGTAGCTGAGCTTGCTGAAAGCGAAGTTATCCTCTCTCTCTCTCTCTCGCCTCCATCGCCGACTCCGATCCTCCTCACTCGACCTCGATTTGCACTTCGATTTGCTTCCCATATTATATACGACACTCGAAACGCTTGTCGCGAGTCGTTGCTGTAATATCGGCGCCAACGAAATGGGCTGGGTTGAGAAGTCCAACCGCTGGGTTGCCACCAGCCCGGTCGGCCGCTGGTTCAAGCTGGATGGATGTGGACATGTGAGCGCTTCAAGCGATGTCTGAGTTAACCTCGACGGCGCAATGCTAAAGGCTGCTCCAACACAGCCGAAAGAGAGGAAGGGGTCCTTTTTCTGGACCGAGATGCGCGCCGGTCTCGCCACCTTCTTCGCCATGGCGTGAGTACCGACCGACGGCTACCCATAAGTCAACAACTCGGTTGCTGACTCGTACCCCAAGCTATATCATTGCCGTCAACGCTAGCATCGTTGCAGATAGCGGAGGCACCTGCCCCTGCGATGAGCCTGTGGTTGGAGGCGCCCGCTGCGCGACCAACGACGAATATCTACTGTGCAAATCCGATATCAAGAGGGATCTCGTCACCGCCACGGCCGCCATCTCCGCCCTAGGCACGTTCTGCATGGGTCTCTTTTCGAATCTGTACGTCAATGACGGCCGAAGGACGAGAGCGGAAGGGGAAAAGGGGAAACACACGGCTAACAAGCATCTTCCGACAGGCCCGTGGGAATTGCGCCCGGCATGGGTTTGAACGCATACTTCGCTTACACCGTCGTCGGTTCTAACGGATCAGGCCAGGTGCCTTACGAGGTTGCCCTGACGGCCATCTTCATTGAAGGCTTCATTTTCTTCGGCCTTGCCGTGCTCGGTCTGCGGCAATGGCTCGCACGCGCCATTCCCCGCTGCATCAAGCTCGCGACGAGCGTTGGAATCGGCTTGTTCCTCACTCTGATCGGCTTGACCTATGCCGAGGGCATTGGCCTTATCATGGGTGGGACATCAGTGCCCATCCAGCTCGCCGGCTGTCGGCAGGAGCAGATTGTAAACGGCGAGTGCCCGAGCGCCGTCAAGATGCGCAGCCCCATGATGTGGGTTGGGATTTTCTGCGGCGGCGTCTTCACCGTCATGCTCATGATGTACCGCGTCAAGGGCGCCATCATTGCCGGCATCCTCCTCGTCTCCATCATCTCGTGGCCTCGCACGACGCCCGTCACCTATTTCCCCTACACTCCAGTCGGCGACAGCAACTTTGACTTCTTCCGCAAGGTCGTCGACTTCCACCCGATCCAGAACGTCCTCAACGTCCAGCGCTGGGATATTGGGGACTATGGCGGCCAGTTCGGCCTGGCCCTCATCACCTTCCTCTACGTCGACATCCTCGACTGCACCGGCACCCTCTACTCCATGGCCCACTATGCTAACCTCGTCGACCCCGTCACCCAGGACTTTGAGGGCTCCACCATGGCGTACATGGTCGACTCACTGACCATCTCCATCGGCGCCGTGTTTGGAACGCCCCCCGTCACCGCCTTTGTCGAGTCGGGCGCCGGAATCGGCGAAGGCGGCAAGACGGGCCTAACGGCCATGGCCACCGGCCTGTGCTTCTTCATCTCCATCTTCTTCGCGCCCATCTTCGCCTCGATCCCGCCCTGGGCCACCGGCTGCGTGCTGGTGCTGGTCGGCTCCATGATGGTGCACGCCGTGACCGAGATCAACTGGCGGTACATGGGGGACTCGGTCCCGGCGTTTGTCACCATCGCCATCATGCCCTTCACCTACTCCATCGCCGACGGCCTGATCGCCGGCGTGTGCCTGTACATCCTGATCAACTCGCTTGTCTGGGTCATCGAGAAGGCGTCCGGCGGCCGCCTTGTGCCCCCTAACAAGGACCTCAAGGAGCCGTGGACGTGGCGCACCGAGGGTGGCATCATGCCCCCGTGGATGACGCGCCTGGCCAGCGGAAAGAAGGACTTTTGGCGCGCTGCGCACCCCAACCCGTCTGTGTCAGACGCCGAGGGCGTGGCCGAGAAGATTGAGGGCAAGACGACAGGGTCGGACCACGACGCGGCGATGGCCACTGGCCGAGGTGAGAAGGCGACATAACGAAGGGAGCCATTCGGAGGGCGGATCTAAGGATGGAGTGATAGGGCGGTCCAAGCGCCGGGAGCCTGAGTTCCAGTTGAATACAGCGCACTTGTTTTATGCCAGCCGTTGCCTGGCACTGGGGTCTGTGGCGCGGCGCTGTTCCGGGGAATGATACTGGACACAATGAAGATATGTCTTGCCGTTATTGACGAAGGAACGGAATGATATTTGCGCGAAGACAACGACGAGCTGAGCAGGTACTCCGTAAGAAGGAGTAATTCAATTCCGATGGACGTGGCTGCCGTCACCTCCTCGGAGCAGCGGGCCGTGTCTCGGCTGAAAGTCGGATGACTCGGTTGATACCGGACCACCGACGCAGTTCCATTGTTCCATCACATGAGCAATCTTCTCTATGAACAGCGGAAGTTCTGTATATATAAGGCTCGCATATCAGAGTCCAAACACGTTCAAACTGATCCAGGACCAAGTTGCCAAACATGGACGCTGCAAGGAACATTACCATCTCATGCCACTGCGGCGCTGCCCGGCAGACACTGCTCCCCAAGGAACACAATGACCTGTTCTCACAAGTCTCATTCTGCCACTGCGATACCTGCCGCCATTCCACAGGTTTGCTTTGTACTTCGTATGCCCCTGTCGCCTCGCATCCGCCTCCTTCACTCACCGGGCTGCAAAGCCATTCCACCTCCTCGACATCAACCCGATATTTCTGCTCGACCTGCGGATGCCATGTTTTCCGCGCCAAACACGCTTCCACGTTGTCATTCCCGGCCGAGTGGGACTGGGAGGTGGCCACCGGCGTCATCACCGACGCTCCCGAGTCCAGACTCCCCGAGCAATGGCACCACCACCACGTCCAAGACACCCAAGACGGCGGGCTCTCCCCTTTTCTCCTCGCTTCTTCACCACCACGACCAAGTCAAAGCCCGCCTTCAGTAGACGACGACATCCTCCAGGCCTCCTGCCACTGCACCTCCATCTCCCTCCAGATAACCCCCCCATCGCCGGATCCAAAGGACAACCCTGACTCCCCATACCCGGACCTGCTCCTCCCCTACCACAGCACCCCGCCGCACACAGTCTCCAACCCGTCCAACGAGAAGTGGTACCTCCGTCTCGTCCCTTCTTCCTCCTCTAGCACCTCCAAGCAGGAAGAAGTGTACTTACCCGACGACACCGCCCAACAACAACAAAACCCCACACGCTCACCCAAGACCGAGACCAAGACGAGATACCTCTCCGGGACCTGCGCCTGCCAACCCTGCCGCCTAACCTCAGGCTTTGAGATCCAGACCTGGGCCTTCATTCCCCGCCGCAACATCTCCATCTCCATCCCACACTCCTCATCCAGCTCATCGAACCCAGATCAGCCAGCCTGGGCCAAGTACCAACCGCTAGACTTCACCAACCTCCCGGCAAACCTCCCGTTATCAACCTACGAGTCCTCGCCGGGAAGAAAACGTGAATTCTGCGCCGTCTGCGGCGCCACAATCTTCTGGCACGACGATTTCCGACCAGACCTCATCGACGTCAGTGTCGGTTTGTTTCGGCCCTCAGCCAACAGCGGCGGTGGCGCCAGGGCAGAGAATTGGCTAGAATGGTGGACGGAACGCGTGAGTTTCTCCGAGGATGCCAGCAAGGGGCGGACGGGAGAGGCAAAGACGTGGGGGGAGGGTGTTATTCGTTTGTTGGAGGAGGGTTTGAGGACGAGGAGGGTAGGGCAGCCGGCGAAGGAGCATTGATTGATCAAGGTCGTCGAGCACAAGTACTGAGTTAGGCGCGATCAGACCGTGGTGGAACAACATGTCTTGAGTATGTGGCTGTGGAGCCGAATCTATGGATGATAGATGTGTCCCTCTCGTTCTATCGTACTGTAGGAGCATGAGGAAGCCGTACAGAAAGTAGGGATGATATCTTCGACATGATGCCCTGGCTTAACCCAATCAATGTAACTCGGATATCCTCCTCGTCGATAGAGACATGACAATGCTCTCCGTGACTGTAAGGCGTTAGCGTCGCCTCTGTATCTTTGCTTGTGGGCCTTGAACAGAACATACCTCTCTCCGAACTCCAGCCACGGGGACGCAGTAGCAAGCCGTCGATAGGGCGTGGTGCTTGCCGAGGCGTGGAGGCTGCGTCTGGAGTGTCCGCCAATAAACCTTTCGTGCTGCGTAGTGCATGGGACAGCGCTGGCAAGTATGTACCACCAGGACGTGGCCGTAATGACTCCGTGAGACCTCAGTGAGATAGCCCAAAACCTCCTGAATTCAATATTCATCAAGATGAGCGAGGTCAAGCCGCAGTGGACTGGGCAGCTCTCTCAACCGCTGACTCTTGTGCGACGGGCGGCGTATCCATTCCAGAATTCTCCTCGGACTTGGTCGTAGCGCCAGAGTCACTCAGAGGGCCACCGCCGTGACCATCGCGCTCCATCATGGCCGCCAGACGAGCAGCGCGACCTTCCTTCTTTCTCGGGACAGGCGCTGCGGTATTGTCAATTAACATGCATATTCGAGTCTTCCAAAGCCATGACCACACCAACCTCTGTTATTCTCCTGGACGTAGAACTGCCTCAACAAGGTCACCGCCTCATCACGGCCCCATCCCCCCTCCGCCTCGAAACCACGCTCAATATTCCCGCCATCGCCAGGGAGACTGGAGCAGTCAATAGGAGTAACCACGACGTTATTTTGGTTGTTATCATCCTGCATAATAGGATTCTGCTCCTTGGTGATGGCATCGGTGGAAGCAGGAAGGCGCTCGAGGATCGGCCTCGCCAAGCCCTTGCCGTTCTGCGGCACAGGCGACGGAGGGGCCGAGGCCATCGAGTGCGGCGAGTTCTTGTGGATGCGGAACACACCGCCAGTGCCGCCGAACTTGTCGTTGACGGCGCCAAAATAAACCTTCTTGATGCCGAGCTGCCGCAGCAGCGAGGCACACATGACGCACGGCTCGACAGTCACGTACAGCGTGCACTCAGTAATGACGGATGGGTCCACGCGCGGAGAGGGATGGAGCTTCTGGCCGTAAGGATACAGATGGCCGTCCTTGGGGTCCACGTCTCCCCAGGTGCTGGTTTCCTCGGCATCTTGGGCTTGGTTCGTCCTGTCGCCAAGTGGCATCCTGGTTGCGGTCCCTTTGTCTGGGTGTCTGGCTGGCTCGACGTCGGACGAAGGCGCGTAGGAAAGCAGGGCGCAAATGGCCATGAGCTCAGCATGCCGCGTCCCGTTCCGGGTGACGTTGGTCGCATTCATGCCTTTGGCGATGATGCGCCCCTTGTACACGAGCACGCAGCCGACTGGCGTCTCATTAGTTTTGAGAGCAAGTCTGGCCTGTAGGTCGCGTTAGCGGAATACGGGTTCATTCAAGAGAGCAAACCTCACCATATCCAGAGCCTCCCTCATAAACCGGCTGTGCATGGCCCTCTCGGCTGCCTGCTCGGGCGTCTCGATCTTTGACTGAATCAGCACCGTCTCGCCGCCCAGCTCAATCGTCGTTGTCGCAGTCCCCTTCGGCCTACTAGTCTGGGAGACCGAGTGCGTCAGCGGAACCGGAGGCGTCCGCGGCACCTCCTTGTCAGAGCTGCCGTTGACGCCGCCGTCCAGGACATGCTGCTTCAGCAACGCGGCGTCCTGGACAGCTTGCTTGGCCACTCCGTCTTTCGCGGCGCTCCCTGTCCCATTTGCCACATCCCGAAGCGACATCGACGATGATGCTGTTGCTGCTCTTCCAGAACCATCGAGTTCCAAGCGCGATAGTTTGTCGGTGAGCTGGGACAGGCCCTTGGTTGGGGAATCAACTGCTGATGGCAAGTTCTCTTTTCGGACGAGAGCAGTGTGCGGTTGAGGAGCGGCCACTTTGGAGCCAGTTCGGTCCTGCGTTTGCGACTCAGGGCCGGCAGACGAGGATGAGGTGACGGCCATGTCGGTCTCGTTGCGGTGGCTGTCGGTGCCAGCGTCGTCGTTGTGGGTTTCCCTCAAGAAGGAGGACGAAGAGGAGCCAGAGGTTGAGCCAGAGGTCCAATAAGGAAGGGTTGGCTGGGTCGTTTGGCGAAAAGGAGGAAAACGTTGCAGCGCTTGCATGAAGGCGTTGAAAGGAAACAGAAAGAGCGACTGCAAAAAGGCGGTGGTTTTCAGGCCGACGGCCGAGATGGCTTTGAAGAGCGTGATTGCCATTTTGAGAAACCCGCTTCGAAACAACTGGGAACTATTCAAGCTCCGCCACCAACGCAGTCACAAATCGGTTTAGTCGGTCAGTGAGCGAGGGAGTAACTGGTATTATAGCACTCAAGTGCTGTCGTCCCTGTCTCGCGATAACCACTCGAATAAGGATGCTCCGAGTAAAGATGCTGAACTCGATGAAAGGCGAAACCTGTGCCCTCACACACCCTGCCTTCTGTGTTTGGGGCAGCGGATCCTAAGCGGTAAAGCTTAGTACGCGCACGTGCGAAAGTGATTGCATTCAGCACGAGGGAATCAATTGTGTCTGATGTTAGTTATCGCAATCATGCAAAGCTGGAGGCGTCGTCTCAACATATATCACACAAGAGATTTGTCAGACAACCATGAAGTTGATAGCCCAGAGGTTTGTGGTGGTCAAGCCTGGCAAGTGAGTGGGTCATGGCAGAAGCCGTTTGGCATGCAGTTAACGGGCGGGCCACTACGGATTACAACACCCTTGAAATCGCATATTTCAAGCATCCTTCCCTCCTTTATCGTATGAGGTTAGTTGGACTGCAAACATCCAGACACACCACCGGCAGCAAGGAAAGGTCAAGTAAAAATTTACGATGGCCTGCGAGGACCTTCAATTTGTCAAGCCGGAAGAGCTAGCGCTGTCTTGCTCAAGAAACAAACAGCAAGGAAACAAAACACTGCCCCTCCAAGTCAGGCCCTCACAGTCCACCAAGCCGTCCTCCCCCCAAACCCCATACCACAAGCCACGCTTCCTCGCTGGGCAAGAGAAGCATCGAAATACAGTATATACAAAGCAAGAGAAGAGGACGACCACATGTCTCAATATCCGACCCTGGGTATCATAGTCAAAAAGCACTCGCTGGCAACAGAAAGCCATCACAAAACATATCAAAAACACTTGCCAGAAACATCAAGGCCTTACAGCTTCAATGTTTGCACCGACGGCAGGCGAGGCATGAGGTTCCTCGCCTGCCTGTATACCGTACTCCGCAAGTCCGATAACAGGCTCCCGGAGATGGACTGAATCTTCGACTTGACATTGTCGACGATGCCAGACGGCGTCGGTGGTGACAAGGTTTTCGGGCCGACCAGTGGCGCGCCCGATGGCCCGGAACACCAAGGTGCGAGCCGGGCCAGGGATATGCTTGTGATGGCAAGAATGTTGACGAGGTTGACTTGACTTGCCAGGTGTGCCTGCAAGGCAGCGGCACAGAGGATAGAGACAAGACCGAACACGGCAAGCTGGAAGAAAGAGGACGTAATATACGCCACATCGTCCCCAACAACGTTGCGCCGTGTCGGCAGGGTTGAGAACAGCATGGTCGTCATCGCCAAGATGGCATTGACTGCAACAGTCCCCTGCTGCACAGCATGCTGTCCGTCAAGGCAGGCAGACGATCCGGACTCGCGACCAGCCAGATATTCGCTTGGCACAGTGCTGCTTGGGCAGCCCTGTCCAGAGCGTACCAAGCCACCACATGCGGCAATGCTGACGGCTTCGCACAATTGGCGGCCGGCCGTCGAGGATGTCGCATCAAGCCCGCCAAGTGACGAACGCGGGCAGGCTGTGGCAGACGGCAGCGAGGACTTGACAGTTGCTGCAAGCACGCCGGAACCGGGCGAGCGGACAGGTGATGATGGGCTGTCGGGGGATGTCGCAGTTACCCTCCTGGGTCGCGGTCGTGTGCCCGGACTAACCGACGACTGCGGGTCATTGGCAACCACAGTGCTGGTAGAACCATAGAGCGCCGCCGGTGCAGACGTCTGAGAGACTGGTGTCGAGGTAGAGGAGTTGACAAAGACTTCGGAGCCATGGCCATCTACAGGTCTCATGCGGTTCGTCGTGTGTCGGTCAGCGAGCGAGCGACCGCCGCCGCCACAACTACCACCAGTCTCTTCCTCGACAAGCCGGTTGTGATCGGTCATCGTGGGGCTGGCGCGTGTGTTGTGGCTGTTGCGCCTAGGTTTGTCATTGGTGGTATCCCCAGGATCATAGTACCAGGCAAGATCAACGGGCGAGGTGCTGATGGTGTACCTCTCGCCAGCTGATTGTTCGCCAGAGTGTGTAGCCCAGGCGACGTCGACGACCGAAGTGCTTAGCGAGTTCTGAGGGATTGTGTGGTGAGCGACATGGCGCGGCGATTGTGGGGATTGCTGTTGGCTTCTGAGTTCCCTCATTTGGAGAACAGGGTCCTCATCAAAGACTTCAGGGCCCGGTGAATAGAGGCTGAAGTCGACATAGTTGGTGCCATGGGCAACGCCCGGGTTGAGATACGGGACGGTCAGATCCTCAAGTGAAACCTCGCCCGAAACCTCGACCGTGACATTGGGTGCGGCAACTGGAGAAGCACCCGGGCGAGCCGGAGAGAATGGAGTGAGGATCTGGGATGGCGAAGTGGCACTCGAGCCGGAGCTGGGGGAGACGAAGCTCTGCAGGTCGGTGAAAGAATCGAAGAAGAATTCATCAATGGCAAGGCCAGAAGCAACAGTGACTGGCTCGTGGTCAAGGGTGGTGAACTCGTTCCAGTACTCCTCGAAATTTTCGGGATAACTGGTCTCCAAGGTGGGAAAGGAAAGAGCCTCCGGGCCGAAGGCGTCCGCAGTGACAAAGTCGGCCGGCGCAGCAACCACTGCCACGGGAGTTGACTCTCCCGCCTTCTTTGGTCGCTTCGCGGGCTTCTGATCGGCCTGTGCAGCGGAAGCTTGCGAGGCATTCCGCTTCCTGTGGCTGGGGTCGCAGCGGACCTTCTTTCTCCGGCACGAGTCGCAAGCCTTGATGATCCGCATCAGGTGGGCGTGGTCCCGCTGCTCCTTAGTCTTGCATCCTCGGGAAGCCGAGTTGGTGACATCCTTGCCATCCTTGGTCAGAATGCGCATGCCGGGATGGTTCGCAAAGTCGACCGCCTGCTGCCGTGTGCTCGAGTTGCTGGACTTCTTGGAGGCAAAGGTGCGTGCCTTCGTCCCCGCATCAGTCACAGCCGGGACGAATGATACCGGGGACTGGGTCCAGGAGCCCCGGTCCGACAGTACCGGGGAGTGGTTGAAGGAGCTCGATGCGTAGCCCGAGTCGTAGAGAGCGGAAGTGGCCGGCGACGCAGTCACGGGAGTGAAGGATGCCGAGGGAACGGGGTAGAACTTGAAGGTCTCGCCTGTCTGGCGGGCGTACTCAAAAAAGTCCATCGAGATGTGGGCCCTCTTGTCCTGGATGGATGCGGGGCCGGGGAGGGAGGCGTTGATCATGTCGTCGAGTTCCGGGGTGCCAATTGCGGGGAGCCACTGCAGGGGAGCCCCGAGTGCCGGCTGGCACACGGAGAACCCGCTGAAGGCACCGACCGATCCGTGTCGGGCCATGCCGGCCATCGGTACAAGCGTGTCAAGGGTGGTGGTGTCGCACGGGATATGAAACAAACCGGCGTCGGGAACGGCGAAGGTGTCAGGAAGCTTCGCCAAGCTGAGTTCGGAATGATTGATTGCGTATGGTTGGTGATCCAAGCCGCCGTCGTGATCCAGTTTACAGTGCCCAATTCTCGATGATGCAGCAATTGCCAATTGGAATCCGGCAAGCTCGGATTTCGCCGAGTCTGTCGGTGGGGATGAATTGGCTGTGTTCAACAGATTGGGGTGAAGAAAGGCAGGGCAGGCCAGGAGGTCTCCAATACTAAGATGCGGTGTCCTCTGGGTCTCTGCTTGTGTTCGTGGCAAATGTCCCAAGGTTGCTTTGACAGCAGTCGGGCAATTGCGACTGACGAAATCCAATGTTTCGACGGAGGAAGAAAGAGAAAAACGAGGCAGAAACGCGACCGGAGGAGTCAGGCCGATATATCACTTGCTCTTCGCGATCAGCTTGGAAACAAATCATAACCATCAAGGCGCAGCCGAGGATTACTCCCCCAGCTCTTCGGCGAGACGAATTAGGAATAGCGTCCCGCGGCTCGACGGTGGAAGCAGGTACATGAAGCTTGACTGTTTTATGCTCAGCAAGCACCCCGCTCACACAATCAGCGCAATCCTTTTGTACAGTCGAAACGGTGTTTCGAGCTTCACGTTACACTATTTATTCACAACTTTAGTCGTCCTCATAATCCGAAGGAAGACAAAAATCTATCCTGACGCCAGGATCGCACAACGATGCAAATGCGCCTTGATCTTTTATGCCATGTTCATTGCCAGTCTCATCGAAGCGCTACAAAATAACTTCTCTCCAGCTGTACCCGGTACAGTGGAGCCGGCGCGGAACAGCGGCCTGCATGGCTGCAGAACACGGCGAGCGGTTTCCTGGGGGTCATGGTCCCACTCCCGGCCGTGCAGAAGAAACCGCCAGTCTGACCCGAAGGCATTGGCATGATGATGGATCCAATTGGCCAGGATGGGAATGAGTCAAGAAGGACAATCGGACAACTCCACGAGCCTTCCTATCAGGAAGGTGCCGTCAATCTTGGCTCGTCCTGGCATAGTGTTCACCAGTACTTCGTAACGTTACAAGCATCTCGGTTTTCTCAGACGTCCGCGAACTGTCCTGCTCCTTGCGTTATGCCGCCTGGAATATAAGACTCTCCCTCCATATGCCATCTGGCGGCCTCAACCGGTCATCTTTTGCTTTGCTAAGATTTGAAAGACGCCTTCGGAAGTTCAGACAAGGCAGATGAATGGCACAACGCAAGGTTGGTGAAGTTGTGCTTTGCCTTGCGCCTCTCATCCTCCTGTAGAGGAGTTGGTTGGGGGTGGCTCTGCTCTGGCTGTGAAAGAACCCTGGCGACCAATCTGACACAGTGTCAGTTTTCTGTGCAACCGCACGACCCCACATTCGATTGAGTCAATCCATCTTTTCAAGTTCATCCAATTCATCGAGTTCTGGACTCGGTCGAACGAGAGATTGGCGATGACAGGCTCAAGTGACTCCTTCGCTGCAGCTGCAGGAGGCTTGTTTTTGACGCTCTGGTTGTCCCTCATTTCAAGACTTGCAGGACGGGAGCCCCTCCTACCAGACGAGAGGCACCACACACGGTCCATGGCATCAAGGTAGACACTGGCGGAATCATCACCGAACCGGGCCAACAGGATTCCTCAATCGAGGCTTCAATTCCTGCAGCTTGCAGTCTATAAAAGCATCCATATGGCCACCAAGTCGTAGACTTGAATCCTCGAGTTGCTCTGCCCATGTCCTTTTTTCCTTGCCGCGGTCAGGTAGGTGTTGACCCAGATCTAAACCTTTAAAACCCGTAACGTGATTCACCATTGACTCGGACACCCCATTGAGTCGGACACATTTTCCGGACTATGCCACTACAAACTGCCAAAAGTCCACCAGAATCTGATGCAATCAATTGAAACTACTCAGAATCGCTTCAGCTATCTACTTCTCCAGCCTCCGAGCATGTCCTTGCATTATGGCCAGTCTTGCGGCAGATGCCACAGAGCCGTAAACCCGTCCGACGCCTCTTTGATGGTCCTTCAATTTCCTCCTCAACGCGCTCTTCCTCGTCCACCATACCTTTCTCTGCCATTTTTTCCCTAGCTTGGCTTCCATTAGTAGCCCCGCCATCTTGGAGACGCGTCCGTTTGGCTCTGCGGCGCTTGGAGAGTGCTTCGTTGGCCTCCTGAAGTGTCCGTACCTTGGCCTCCAAAAGGGTGACCCGATGGGAAACTGCTTGCATTCCCTTCGAAAGCTGGTCAACAGCAGCTAAAATCGGAGTCAGAGAGCTTCCCTGGTGTCTCGCAATCTGATCTTTGATAAGGGCAGACTGCGAAAGGGCTTCGTTGGTAGTTTGGGGCGTCTTGGAGACCCATGGTGTTCGCGATCCATCAGGGGTCCCAGGAGGTGTTGGTGTTCGCAACTTAACATCCAGCTTCGAAAGCACGGCCTGCGGGTTGTAGGGGATAAGTCCAGATCCTCGAAAACCCCCAAGATCGTTTTCTTGGGTAAAAGTCCGGTAGAAGGCAGCTTTGAATGCAAGGAAGAACTCGGGCTTGGTGATGTGCGTA